GGACGGTTTAAGTGTGATCACTCTATCTAAGAGCTAATAAATAAATGAGGTAAATTTACCTGTTGCTCTCCAATATTTACTTGTCTCATTCTCCTGTCACTTCTGATGTCTGTTCTGTGTCTGATAGGTGTCCCAGCTCTAGTGTAATTAGTCAAGCCAAATATTGTCATTTTAAACTAAACCAAACTTTCTCAGAAACATGATTAATTCACATTTTAGTCTTACAAAACTTTTTGACATCAAATGCTCAATAATATTTCTCCACAAATCTATTTTTTCTTCAGTATTATTAAAATACTCTCTTTTTGTCTTGCTTGGGGGCATTAATCTGAGTAACAATTGTATGTCATTCTAAAGTAAGCAAGGTCTGAACACAGTCAACTTTATGGACATCTGGACATCTTTTATCTCCAAAAGTGAAAGTTTGCTAAAAAGAGAATTATTTTCAATAATTGTTGATTAAAATCTCCCAAAACAGGGTTCATTCTGTCCCTTAAATAAAGTAAGAGTCCACTGCATCAGAGATTTTGACTTCAAAGGATACAAGCTTCCACCTCGTGGAGTCCCTGCTACYCTTGAGCTTGGTGTTCCATAATTAAGTGGTGAACTTAAGTCAATCTCACTTGTCTCTACACCAAGCCGCTGCTGAGGGGATGAGAACAGCGATGGATCATGATCTTGCTGATCCCCTGATGGTGATGTGGGAGCAAGTGGCAGAGGTGATGATGCCTCATCAATACGACGTCGCTGTGATGGAGGTGATACCACATTGGTCTCTTCAGGAATGGGCTCTGGAGAGCCACCTCTGGAGCTTTTGCGRCTGCTTCGTGCAGAGCGGCCTGAAGCTAAAACGATGGACAAAAATCAAATGCTTCAAGCAAGCATCAAGTATGTACTCAATGTCATGGAGTTTGTCAATATAAAAGAACTTATAAAAGAAACTTTTCCGATAGTCATAGAAATCTAAAATGAAATTAGTTTGAATATAATTCGATCAGTAAAAAATCAATATTCGACAAATGCAAATTTGCCCCTCGATCGAAATGGCGAAAACAGGACATTTTATCAACAAAAAGATTTATAAAGATTTAAAAATACGATCCTTTCGATCTACTTTCAAAGGAAAATCAGCTTCCCTATAACTCTACCAGTCATTTTGCCTTAAAAGTGTTCATTTAAAATGATTTTCTACYGAAATGTACACAATGTRTTCAAATCGACCGAWCACAAAACTTCTTGTTTAAACKCCATATACACAAAATCAAAGACAAATTTACAGATATATCTTTGACAAATAAGTTTTAAATCATATCAGAAAGATAATACGTTTTCCAACTTACTTGGAGTTGCGGTTCTGGACCGTTTTCTTCCCTTAGGAGTCGAAGGTTCCGACATTTTGTACTTTTCTTAGTCGATCAGCTTGTTACTCACGTGTGAAAAAGCGCGCGAAATTATCATGTGATTGAGCTCGGCTCTCGTAGGATTGTGGGTAGAGAGAAAATGAATTGGAACAGAGGACTCTGGATTGTGAGGAATAACCACTTTTTTAGTTTAATTTAGTTAAAAAAATCCACTTGAGCATAATTCGTAATACAAAGTCTAGAGCGAATGAATTTTTAGAAGCATGATTGTTCAAGTTGACAGCATTTGATGTTTTTTGTTTCTTTGTTTTTTTTTTGTTTTTTTAACTGAAAACCATTGCTCCTAAGGGGTACAATTTGCACAGTTTATAGAGTTGAACATCGAATAAGGCGGTGGGGAGACAGATGCCTAGAGGACAGGGGTATGGTGAGAA